CGAACTTTTGACGTCATACAACAATCACTTTTCCATTGTGGCGTCAGATATTTTCTATTATGACGTCAAAATTTTACGGGAACTTGTGTGATGTCCAGTAATGGCGGACAAATAGCGATAAGGTGTATAAAGTGGGACCAAGAGTCACAATTTAGTTTCTCCAAAGTAAAAAAGCCTTTTAACTCAAGCCTATGTTTCTTAGTTGAAAATATCATAAAGAAAAAGAATAAGTTTAACAAAAACATTGACAGAAATTCTTTAAAAAAATATACTTAAAATTATAAGTGACATAATTTTGACTTTAAAATCATTATTATTGTAAAGTTCAATTATTAGATTGGCTACCACAGCTACTGAGTAGCCCTTGCCAAATTTCTCAGGGTATTTTTAGATTATGAAAGTAAACTTAAAAAATAACAAAATGGGGCTTCTACTCTTCAGATTGCTGTATCAGCTGGTAAACATATTCATAAACAAAGTATTTATATTTTACCCTAATAATTGGATATCTATATCACAGATGAAAGTTGGTGGGACAAATCTTGTGCCTTTTACTTAATTATCAATGGATTGATAAATTTTACAAGATTAGTTTGCCATTTGAATAAATTCAATTTTGTTAGAAGACATAAGAACACATCTCTATGAATTAAATTTCTTGTTTGACTTTATAAGCTATTTTTTCACTTATTAATTACTGTGGCTTTTTTAGTACAGAGATAACCAAAAATGCAAGGTTTTCAACTTTTAACCTAAAATAAACTGACCTTTATTTCCTTTTTCATGGTTTTTCCTCCAGAAATTTTCATTAGATCTACAATGTATTTTCTATTGCTATTTTTTGTGTTTTTGTCCATCCATAGGCTATCATTAATTTGTCAGATTTGCTTCAATATTCTAAGACGTACCGTTTCATACGATGATCTTTGTTTTACCTTTTCAGTGTGTAAATTTTCACTATGCAGTGTATGCACTTGACCCTGACACATATTTTGTTAACGTTATATGACGTATGTTGAAATAGAAAACAATGTCACCGTCAATTTGTGTAGGGGATCAAGAAGGGTTTTAATTACTTTGAAATGGAGGTTTCGTATGGAATTGTGAAAAACAACAACTTTTAATCACAATTACATTCATATTTCTAATAAAATCAGTATTTAGAGTACTTTGGAAACAGGTACAATGAAAAGAGGATGAAAATTCACTGTTTCAAACTAGAAATGCAGCCAAAACCAGCTACAAATTGACATTACTTGTGGTCACTAAAATTGTTGTATTAGAGTAAAAAAAGATGGCTTCATAATTGTGTAGAAATTTGAAATAGGTTACCCGGTTTCATTTAAGATTTTTACCGTTCTTTTCCGTATTTGGATACACAAACGTCAAGTTATTTAAATTCGATGTTTTTGGCGAACAAAAAAGATGGCTGATAATTTTTAGAACGGACAGGATAAAGATATAGCAAATAAAAGTTATTTTGGGCAATGTTTCTATGTCGTATTGAAACTATATTGCTCGCCGATTGATTTCGCGGACTTTTTAACGTCACCGACGACTGTAGCGCCACCTAATTGATTCCCCCTGCTATTGTTGCTGATAGAGCTTGACGACAACGGACGTTTCCAAGGACTTGCTTTCCATCTGGTTCGTACACCAAAATGATTATTGGATCAATTTCCATGGTTTAAAACGTTTTAAACCAATCACAACGTTTTGGTGTACGCTTTTGAAAATATAACCCAGAATGCATTAGATTCTGAAAGGGCGAATTGGGCGTTAAGCAAGCAACAATCAATCGATCAATATTGTACTAAAGTCGAGCTCGTTTTTTTTTCACGAGATCAAAGTGGAAGTAGTTGTTGTTTCTAGTCGTATTGTGTTAAAATCTTAAATAATTCCACCAAAAAAAAAATTGTTTCCATTCTGTTCAAAGTGTCCATGTTTTATTAGCACCACTGGACGTTAAGCAACCAACAATCAGTCAATCTTTATTAGCATATAAATGCCATAGAAATGATACGCAATCTAACAATAAAGCATTATTATGTTTATTAATTATGTATACGTGTATAATTTGCAAACTCTTAATTGACGAAAATATCTTTAATTATAGCAAATAACTGACTTTACAAAGAAAACAGTAACTATCAAAGTTATTACAATCCTGTCACTTCAAAATCACATGACATACATAGTGCTTAATCCAGGACTACGATTTAATTTAATAGAAGATTTTTCAAGAACTTTTATTGGGTTAAGTAGTTACAGTAAGTACGTTTAACTTAGTAATTTTGTTCTATAATTATTTTACGCATTATATGGCACGTCTCGACAATTAATGTACGTACAGCTAAAGCGAAACTTTTATCCAGGAAAGGTCAGACACATAATCCTTGAGGTTTTTTTTTCAAAATAAATTAAATTTCGTGAATTAATATTTCTTATGAATAATTTTTTAAGGTTGACATTTGATGTATTGGTGATGATCTTTGATATTAGTTAAATTTTGGCTAAATTAACATATTAAATTATCATAAACTTTTAATTTTGGCGGAAGCGGAATGGATTTGCTTGTGTACATTGTACATTAGTTCAAAACTAAGCAAGTCTCCTAGATAGTGAATGAATACCTAGATATGATAAGGTTTCCCTGTGTCCGTTACAATACCGATAGGGTTACGATTATTTAATTACTCGCAACAGAGCAGCCATAGAGTGATTCACCCGGGTACATTTAATGCATTGAATCGTTAAGAATAAAATACAAGTACGTTTAAGCTTACTAATTCGATAATAAAAAATCTATTTTTATAAGACAAATTGAAAGAAAACCATAAATCATGAAAATGTCATTTTAAGTCGTCAAGATAGACGAGGATCTGGATGGGTGGTCCCTCATTTCTTTATTCTATTTAGACAGAAGACATGTTTAAACTGAAATACTTGTATGAAATGAAGTGAATTTATTTTGACATGAATGTGAGAGAAAGTCATTCTTCGTTTTATCAGGAAATTTGTTTCATGGGAGGAAACGAAGTTATTATATATACATAGTTGATTTCATATCATAATCTCAAAAAGATATTCAAGTGTTACCTCTTGCTGCGCGCGCACTCTGACTGGCCATGAATGTAAGAGAAATTCCATCTTTGTTGTCAGGAATTTTTTTTCAAGGGAAGGAACGAAGTCCTTTTACATACATAAACAATTAAGATGTGCTCCATTGGAACTAATCCCACATTTAAAGTAATTGGATGGAATGGTAACCATGTCGGTAGTGTAGCGCAAACATGGTTAATTTTTTAATCTACGAGTTATTGGAATGAATCGTAACCCTCTGTGATTGAAATTTGTCCATTGTGTGTAAAGGGACGGAATTGTAATCCTCCGTTACTGCGACTGTTCCAATGAGTGTAAAGGGACGGAATCGCAACCATCCGTCACTGTGACTGTACCATACAGTGTAAAGGGACAGAACTGTAACCCTCCTTGACATCGACTACCCCATTGGGTGTGTTGGGACGGCACTATAACCATTGGGAACTTCGACTGTTCCGTTTGGTGTAAAGGGACGGCCTGTAACCCTCCGTGACTTCGACTGTTCCATTAGGTATGAGACGGAATCGGAACCCTCCGTCACTGCGACTGTTCCATTGGGTGTAATTGGACGGAACTGCAACTCTCCGCGACTTCGACTGTGCGTTGGGTGTAAAGGGACGGATCTGTAACCCTCCATGACTGCGAATGTTCCATTCGGTGTAAAGGGACGCAATGCAATCCTCCATGACTTCGACTGTTCCGTTGGGTGTACGTACGGAACTGTAACCCTCCGTAACTGCGACTGTTCCATTGGGTGTTTAGTGACGGAACTTTAACCTCGACTGTTCCATTTGGGTGTTTTGGGACGTAATTGTAACCCTTCGTGACTGCGACTGTTCCTTACTAGACCATAGGGTGTAAAGGGCCGGAACTGTAACCCTCCTTGACTGAGACTGTTCCGTTAGGTGAAAAGGGTCTGAACAGCTGTAACCTCGACTGTTCCATCGGGTGTAAAGGGACGGAACTGTAACCCTTGGTGACGTCGACGTTTCCGTTGGGTGTAAAAGGACGGAACTGAAACCCTCTGTGACTGCGACTGTTCAATTGGGTGTAAAGAGTCGAAACAGCAACCCTCCGTTTCTTCGACTGTTCCGTTGGGTGTAAAGGAACGGAACTGTAACCCTCCGTGACTGTGACTGTTCCATTGGGCGTAAAGAGACGGAACTGTAACCCTTCTTGACTTCGACTGTTCCATTGGTTGTAAAGGGACGGAACTGCAAACCTCCTTGACTGCAACTTTTCCATTAGGTGTAAAGGGACGGAACTACAACCTTCCATGACTTTGACTGTTCCATTTGGGGTAAAGTGACGCAACTGTAACCTCGTCTGTTCCATTTGGGTGTATAGGGACGTAACTGTAACCCTCCGTGACTACGAGTGTTCCTTGTGGTGTAAAGGGACGGAACTGTAACCCTCCGTGACTGAGACTGTTCCGTTGGGTGAAAAGGGACGGAACTGTAACCTCGACTGTTCCATTTGGGTGTAAAGGGACGTAACTGTAACCCTCCGTGACTGCGACTGCTCCATTTGGGTGATAAGGAACAGAACTGTAATCCTCCGTGACTGCGATTGTTCCGTTGGGTGTAAAGGGACGGAACTGTAACCCTGTCTGGAGAGTAGCGGTCTCGTATCTACAGAAAACCCTTTCCCTGTTCAGTTCAGATCATTTGATACATTTCTAAATTCTTAGCATTTTTAATATTTATTGTTGTAATAATTCGAAATATAACTCCAACATACCAAAGAAGGACAAACACAATTTTTTAATGAAAACTATAGAAAGAAATGCAGTTGTCCCGCTTTGATTAAATGTCGTATAAAAATTTACAAAATAAAATTTAAATTTAGATTTCTTATTCTGAGATGTGATATATACAGCAATGATAAATTCAATTCAATTCAATTCAATATTTTATTGCCATATAAACTTTACAGTTTGTGACATATAACAAAACAAATGAAGACAATAACTAAGTAACTCAATATATATATACAGGTTCAAGTAAATATTAAAGGGTCCCCCGTCCTCAGTTCTATTGACTTTTTAATAAAGGATCATAGTTTATTCACTTGTGTTGGTGTTGATTGGTTAAGTATATATATATAACTTTGTCATTGTCAGTGAGATTAGCAAATGAATTATCTTTTATGATAATGCAATTAAAATATGCTAAACTAATATTAGAATTGTGAGAATGAAAGTAAATGGGAACCACAATGCCTGATAAAAAAGCGAAGAATCTTCAACCACCTTTAAAGAATCTGTAGTTAAAAATAATGAAAGAGAAAATAAATATTGCAAGTACAGTATCATTGTGCAGAACAAAGTGTTATTTCAAATTATAAACGTACTTTTTTTTTTATTTTCGCAAAACATTGCGCTCAAGCCGATGCTAGGGGCCGTCTGATTTTGTGTCATGTATAATGGATATCATATATCCTTTGTTTTTTCTAATGTATTAAAAACTATTTGAATTGAATAATGTTGTATGTCAAGGAATCAGTAATGTCAACCACACATTTCAAAAATTGAAAAATTATGAGAGGAAAATAAGAATTATATAAGAATTTAATGAGTATAAACTTCCACTAATTAATGTATATTTGATAAATGAAAATTACCGTTGTTAAAGGTTGCATTGATAATATTCAGCGGGACAGATTTTATGTCAATAAACCTTGATTTCTGTGTAAATTACTGTTAATGGTCAATCTTAATTTATTATGACCAGACAAAAACATTCCAATTAGTTGGACAAATATCTTTCACCATTGTTTGTACAAAGATATTATATAGGAATGAATCTTTTATCTCATCAACTAAATACAAAGTTACAGAGAACTGAACATTTATATAAATCACAAGTCATAATGTAATAGTATACAGTGTATTCGTCATCAATGTCAGTTGAGTCACAAAGTTAGCACACAGTATTGTCTCTTGAAAGACCATGCCATCTTCCTGTTGTAACTGGTAATCGGTGACTAACACATCTTAATTCGCACACTGTATTAAAATGGTTAGTTGACAAAATATTAAACTATTTCTCTAACTTGGTTTCTTTCTTAAAAAGTTCTAAAATATAACCATTTTGGTGATGCATCTTTCGGACTTTTATTATTACATCTAATTGTCATCTCTTGCTAAAATTTTCCATGTACTTATCTTTTGGTTTAAATGCATGTTTCAACTAATACAATAACGGATTTCATATCTATATGCCACAGACAGTTTTAACAGATTTATTTTCAGAGTAAAAATGAATTACTTAATCCAAAGTTATATCTTCATCAGTATGTGTGTACGTGTTTCTTCAAAAATCGTCTTTTGTTCATTTTCACAATTCGTTAAAATACAAACGTGTAGAAAAATAGCATGTACAATACCAGTTTGCATTTCTCATATCTACAAATTCAAGCAATCGGATATATGTAATATGTTTACAGAATAAAGAATGATATATGGGAAAAAAATAAAGAATAGAGAAAAATGTACCAAAAAAAAAGAAAAGAGAAAAATGTATCAAAAAAATAAAAAATAGAGAATAATGTGGTGTTAAAATATAAAGAATAGAGAAATATGGGCAAAAAGTATAAAGAATAGAGAAATATGGGCAAAAAGTATAAAGAATAGAGAAAAATGCCAGAAATGAAGGAACCTCATTCAGACCCTCATATGTCACTGTTCATTTGATTAGCGACAATGGACATTTGTATCCTGTTAGTTTTGCCATTACTGGGTTTGGATCAAAGAACACCTCAATATATTTTATTTTCATATCTGACGTCACTTCCGCTATACATGAACCAACCATTTCAATTTTCTCTCCTGTTGGTTTCTGGTCTTTATATGGACCAGTCCAGTTTGTCCAATGTCGCCATGTAAAACTAACCTTTGGTGGACCTGCAGTGTACAACATTATATATTGATTAATAAAAAATGAGACAGCTCCAGAAATAAAACGAATTTAAAAATATGAAGCTATTAATAGTTTATGGCAAACCATGCGTATAAAGAGAATGAAATAAATTTAAAAATGTGCACCGAGTATCATTACGGTAGAAATTTTGCATTTTGCTCGTTCTTGTGTGTTAATGAAGGAAAACATCTGTAATTTAAAACTAACCAAAGATACCAGGCTTATAATTTTGTACTCAAGACGCGCGTTACGTCTAAATATAGGTGTCCCGATTTCCTACGTATCATTTCCGGTTGGTACGTAACACAACCGTTAGTGTTGTTTTGGACGTATCATGTAATGCATGAGATTATTATATTCATCATTATAAAATTACAGAAATCAAATTGCTTATCAGCAAAATCTGGCTTAACTTTTAATTTGATTGTGATTTTACCGTTTCTAGAACACTTTCTTTGTAATTCTAAATATTATTATTTAGTTAGTGCACAAGTGCATGAATCAAACAGACCTTTCACGATCTTGAGACTGTCTTTAAATTCTAAATATAGATTTGAGTTTGTGTTTGTTTAATGTGTTGTTTCTGTTTTGTTTATATATATATATATATATATAACAGAAGAATATTTTCTCATGATAAAACAGAATAATTAAAATACTACAGTACCTATGAAAAACTTATATTAAACGAGAAAAAGGCACCCTTCTCATGTTTTTTTTTTATCAACAACTGAAGTTATTTTTTTAAAAATGCATTCTAAAAAAGTAAACCGAAAAATATTGGAAAATAAATATTTTTACGACTATACTGTCGATGAAAAAAACATCAATGTCTAGAATTGTTGAAAAAAAACAAGAACAATTGTCATATAATTATAGTAAATTGTTTCCCTTAGCTACGAGATATAAAAGAACATATCCGAATAGTGAATTATCATGTCTGGGATCAAATGTGTATCGAATAGTTTTTACTTTCATTTGGCTCGAATAAATACCTGAGAAAACTTCGAGAACTTCCCAGGGAAATCCTTCTGGAAACGCTTCTTTGAAGAGGGCATGTGACGAATCGTGTGTTTCTTGAGATACATCTATAAACGGTGATTCCAATAACATCATGTTGTAGTTCCCTAGCTCTACATTGTCTTCTCCTGTGAACTTTTTACCTCCATTAACTTGGAAATAAAAATCACCATCTTTTGATATCGTTTTCCAGTCCTGTTAAAAAACGATACTTGTTACGGAAGTTTTCAAAAGTTTTATAATCTTCTAGCAAAAAGGGAACACACACTTATTAAACACGTGATCTCTTTAAAAAGTAAAATCTCATTTAATTTCTTGACAAACAAGTATAACACTGAATATCAGTATACGTAGATATCATGTATTAATATATCTGATTGAATTTTCAATATATATATAATTTAATATTGGATGTTACACGTCTTTTAATTGGCTGAAAGTTTTTTATCTATCAGCTCATAGACATAATTTTGTCATGTGACCGTGACGTCATCAACGTTTTTTCATGATTTTCTACTTAAAAATAGAATTTAGAATTGAATTATAAGGACTGACTGCAATATTTATTCTGTTCATTCGAAATAACCTCAAAAGTGTGGTGCACACTTTTGAATAACCAGCTACGCGGGTTATTCAGTGTGCACCACATTTTTTTTATGTTAATTCTTCATAGACATAAACAAATATTACAGTCATTCCTTAAGTATATAAGAGAGCGTTAAATTGATAAATCAAATTATTTTTTCTGAATTGAAATTGAATACTTCATATATTACATTGGGCAATGGTCGTGTGTTTTCTGCGCTGTTGAAGTTGCTCTAGGAAATTTACTCTGCGGTAAAACATCAGATTATTTGAGTGAAGGACGACATTGTTTTCTACATGTGAATTATTCTGAGCTTGAACACATCTGTAAATCAGAAAAATAGATCAAATAGATGTGTTTCAATTATGAATATTTTATTTTAAGAAACAGTGATATTTAAGCTAATAAAAGTAAAATCTTGAAAGTTAGAAATATGTTACAGTACATCATTGACAAAATAATAGACACATATTATATACGCAAGTGTTTATCGTAATGTATGATTCTCTATGAATCATCTACAACAAAAAATAATAATAAAAATATTAATATCAATATTATTATAATTGTATCCTTCTGTGTAGCTTCTTTTTTCATAACTCGTAAACACAGTAGGTATAGACGTGTCCGGCTGAGATCGTTTTTTTCTTTCGAGTGAATCGGTCCACTCTTTTCGAGTGTAGATCCGGTTTTTTCGAGTGATATTACATGCGATCCGACCGATTTACTGCTATTTCGCAAGTATATTAGTTCAACGATATGCATGACTGTTCATCTTGTTATGAATACTATAATATTTTGAGCACAAACTACGCACAGTTTCCTTGAATTTTACTTAAAATTCAGCGCTTTACATTGTCGTGTTTTTTCGAGAGCAATATTTAAAACGTTCAGGGTTTTTAACAAACGGTCCGGGTTTTTCAAAGAAAATGTGATTAAGACAGACAGCATTCTTTTTACTTAGAATTAACTTTTTTAGTTAATTTAGTGGAGAACAATATTATATTTCCCCAATAAGTCACAAAGCATATCGTATTGTTGTTTAAATTTAACCATTTCGATTTAATGCTAATTTTCTGTACTGAAAACATTTTACAATAACCTTGCAGTATAAAGATATAAAAGAAATCGTTTGAGTCCTTTTTAAAACGGTATTTAGAACGCGGACTCATAATCTTAACAATTTCTTTTAATGCAACCTTTGTTTTTACAGTCAATAATATTTTTGCGATTGATATATATGTGACCCGCCATGACATTAATTTTCCTGGCTTATGGAGGTAGAACGTCATTGATAGAAAAACATCGTTAAAATATTAGAAACTTTATGTGAAATTTCGTATGGGGGCACACACGTTTATTTCTAACTAATAATTAATGTTTTCGATGCTTTTTACCATTGCATATGAAATTTATAAAATGTAAAGCTTTTAGCTAAAGCAAGCGAACTAATCAAAAACTTCAAAAAATTTTGGGGCCCTTTTTTAGTTTACTATGCGGTATGGATTTTGCTCAATATTGAAAGCCGTACGGTGACCTATAGTTGTTAACTTCTACGTCATTTGGTCTCTGCATGATGGAGAGTTTTTTTTTCACAGGCAATCATACCGCATCTTCTTATTTTTATAAAGTCATAGCCACTTAAAATGTAATACCCCCTCCCATTATATATTATTTTCAACGCTTTTGTCCACATAAATTTGTCAAGAACTGTAAAATAGTGTAGGTTCCATAAGAATACAAGCTTCTTAAATGGATTTATTTAAAGAAATGAAATGTTTGTATCTCTACTAGAAACAGTCGGTTGGTATGGTAAAACGACCGACGTGAATATATGCGATGTACAATTACTCCATAGATAAGTAAACAGAAAAAGTATTTATCATAAAATTCCAAAAATGTCGTAAAATAGGTGCATCGTTGATTTAAAACATGTTAGTAATTAACTCCTAGTTGCAGTTCAGGGATTTTGAAAAGAGTGGAGTACCATAACATCGTAAGGATTGGCATTTGAAAACAAAGTTTATGCATTTACCATAATTATATGTAGATGCGGCCAAGCACCCCCAAAATCTAAAAGAAAAGAAATGAATTCAAAAATCCGCCTCTGAATTCATAAGTTGAAGCCCGGTAAAACTAATATATGAATTGAAAGTAAATCAATCATTTACATATTTATAATTGTTTTCAGATGGTTCCTTCAATTTCTTCGAAGATCCTATATAAGTTCTGAAGAAGTTTTACGTTATCATTTGAAGTGAAAAATATTTGAATCTACATGTAAAATTGATAGAAAAAAACTAGATTCTCTGCTCTATAGATTTTTATAAATATAGTCTAAAATATATCCCTAATAAATTTCACCGTATCTAATGCATATATGAGAACAACTACTTATAAACTGTTACGCTTCGCATAATTAATGTGGTGTAAAGACACGCATCATAAATATAAGTTAAAAGACAATTTAAAAAATAATTCTAAAAGCTTTTTTTGACAAATATTATACTAACTTCATTTCAACATGTTAAAATAACATTTTCTAAAAGAGAGTTAAGAACTGTTTGTATTGTAGTAAATTTAATTCATTTGAAACTTGTATTCAAATATGCTGTTGGAGATTACTAAGCCTCAATGAAATACAAAAATTTTGTATTTTATAAATTAGTGCCTTCGATATTAATAAAAAGTCGTCATCGAAAAGTCTCATTATGCTAATATTCAAAAAGACTCGTTTCACTGTCATTACAACACATAATAACTTGACAGAGAGTTTTGTTTCAGTATGTTATAGATAAATATATAAAAAGACAATTTTAGACAAGGTTCCCTCATAATTCTGGAAACATCGTGGCTAGTCACATATAATGCACGGCGTTTTTCTCACAATAACGTTCTACCTCTATAAGCCTGGAAATGTCATAACGGGTCACATATTACAGTGGGGAATCCTTAAGTGAGTTTTAAAAATAGGGTTAAGAAAATTAAGTAAATGCAGCAAAAAATCCGAAAAAATCAATATAAACACATATATTCTACTAAAAGAGGCATCCCTTAAAAAAGAAGTCAATAATAAAAACCAAAAAAAAAACACACTTAGTCCGCCAAAGTTCTATTACCCATTTACAATACTATTTTAAATTTAAAGGAATATTTGATAAAAAAAAAATTTAAACAACACATTATAAATTTTCTGCGTCCGAAGCGTTTTTTTTTAATTTTCCTTCAGTCGAATATTTGAAAGCCAGGGATGTATCAGAACCGAAACAGTTGAAGCGCTACACCCCCTAAAGGTACCTAAATATAGCCAAATCCATCTAATGTTCAACTTTACCGGAGTTTCTTTACAATTTTTACATTAATTTTATAAATGGACAATTTAAGATGATAAATTGTTGGTTACTTAACGTCCAGTGGTAAATATTTCAGGCATGTTCAGGACGAGAACAAATTTAGAATAAATACGAAAGGCATGTCCTGTAATAGAGGCCGCTCGGAATGAAGGTTGAGAAATTTAGACTACCACCTGAAAATGATATATAGGATAGGGACAGAAATGTTGCATTGCAACAGGCCACATACGGACCCCTTAAAGAGTTTTTGCAAGGCTTCTTAACGTGAAAAGAGCGTGGCATCTTTTACACGCCCCTCCTGGCCGGACGTGGCTGTGTACTTGTACATCCCGCACAGCCAAACGGATGCCCAACTTTGGCAAGGGTTTTACTGCCAGTCGGAAAAGGACCTAGTAAGTGATCATATTTCTATTCAAACGTCCCCCTTGCAGGCAAACAATTTTAGAAAGGTTTGTTATGAATCATGTCAGTACCGAAGTTCTGACTATTGAGCTGAAAAAAAGCTCGGGGACTTATACAAAGTATTAATACGATCCTTTCGAGAAAAAAAAAACGAAATACGTATAGAATACGCGTACAACTCACAAATATACATTGTCATTTTTTTTTTTGGAAAGGAAGCTATGACGATGCGTTATTTCATACATACGCTTGATCAGACTCCTCTTCACAGTAGGAGCATTTGCGTGTTTGTTTTTTATGTTGTGTTTTGTGTACTGTAGTCTTGTCGTCGTTTTTCGTTGTTTTTTTTTTTTTTGCACTGGCATTGTCAGTTTGTATTCGACTTTGAGTTTGAATATCACTTTAGTATCTTTCGCCTCCATCTTTTTAATCCCGCTCGTCTAATAAAATAGGCAATTAAGTTTAATGATGACTATCAACTGTATGTTTTTGGTCTAATGAATGCGAAATATCGTTACGTAAATTTTCCATACATTCATTTGCACTTTATATAAACTAATAAATTATATAAAAAAACTTTTTCGATGGATCATGTATTTCTAAATTATCACATAAAAGATTGATTTATGAGACAAATATTAGAAATTTTAAAATATGAATCCTTCAATGTAATTCACGTACATGTTGTATTAAGACACGAATTTATAAGAATTGTTGAGTGGGGTTTTACACATAAGATGTTAATAACCAAGCGTTACAAGGCGAACACATTTCGAAATAAGTATGAATTATTTTACTTTTGACTGGTTTTAACACCAGGAACAATTCTTTCAAGACCCGAAAACTCCAATTAAGCTCCCCATATAAAAAAATGCGGAATAATTGCCCATAAGACAACTATCCAACAGAGACCATATGACGTAGATGTCAGCAATTGTACATAAAAGTCACATTGCGACCTTCAACAATGAGCAAAACCGATATCCTATAGTAAGATGTAAAAGGACCTGACATGACCACATGTGAAACAATTCAAATAAGAAAAACCAATGGCCTGTTTTCTGTACAAAAGAATAAACGAAAAAAAAACCAAATTTATGATAGACAGCAACCAATGACAACCAAGTTATCTCATTGGCACTCATACCACATCTTCTTATTTCTATTAAAGACACAAAGCACAAAGTGCCGGTCTAAGATAACTCTCAGTTATTATTGTTATACAATTTTAAAGTATTTATAATGCCTTTTATCTAGTTCTATATTGCAGATTATAGTGTAAAACATGTAGAACCACGACAAAAGGTGTATATTTTCAAAAGTCATATATCGATACTGAGTTGAATTTTATATCTTTCCTGTAAATTTCGAATATTAGATTTGAAGATCAGTTCATTCCGAAAATGGGAGTGAGACTCGGAGGCATTATATGGAATTATTTTCGTTTAAATATCGGACTTCATATCAATTACTTGAACTTTATCTAAATTGGACAAGTATGGAGTAAGCACTTGTTATGAACCGCAATATTTGACATTATCAAATTAAAAGCTAGCACTTATTTATAAAATAGTTTCTTTAAGGATGTTGGCTACTCTTGTTTTTGACTTTTTGTCAGATATTCGGAATCGTTTAGTTTTATCCATGTAATGCCAATAAAAAATTTGTCCGCTAATCCCTACTTTCCTTTTCATAATTTTATAACATATAGTTTAAAAGTCCATTTTTGAAAATCTTTTATAATCCATGTTATTTTTTCATTGTTTTTGAAAGAAAAAAATGTTAAATGAATGAACAATCTAGAGAGAACTATTTTCCGCCAATTTTTCAATTCATTATATCTCAAAAACAAGACACGGACCTATAATTTTTTTTCTAATGTTTAAGTTCCCTTATTTATATTCTATCAATTTACAACAGTAATTTAAAAAGCTTGTTTTTTTTTTTAAACAGAGGAGCGAACATCCTTATTATCACTTTTACACAATAAAATTGACAAATAGCTGCTAAAGTCGTGTAGGCTTTTTACAGCTTTTTTTGAATTAGCAACAAATACAAGTTTTGAAAAAGGCCATTTCACAAGATTTTTGCCGCAATCGTTATATTCGAGCAGTCAACATGCGTTGTTTTTGTGGTCGTTTAAGCCTTTAGATGCTATAGCTAATACGTGTATGTATCATCACTTCAATTATTTTTGGCCGTCTGAAGAAAACAAATGGTCATTTAAAAATAAGGAAATGTGGTATAATTGCTATTCTAACATGACGTTCTTCAAACGCTTTGAGTACACAACCGTGGTAAAATATGAATATATTGTTTGGGCTGTTCCGATCGTACTCCCGCGTCATATGCTTTTTTATGAATGAGCTACCCGACGTCATAGAACGATGACGTAAGAATATAAGCATTTTGCGGGAAAATACACGCTTGTGAAACCGAAAATCATCACAACAAGGAAACTTAAACAAACGATGCTAAAATGTGTTATATAAGTCATTTTTTGTATACATATAAGACATATAAGTAAAATTATCATTTAGATTCATCCAAATCTATCTAAGTATGTTATTGTAAATAGTTTAAGCATGTCATTTATTCAGTTTGCCCCCGTCTTTTACGTCAATTTAATAGTGCGTTTATTCATGGGAACGGCAAATAATGCCTTCATCTAGAGCGCTTCGATCCAAAACAATTGCCGTATTTAGAATCGAAATAATTCATGGGGGCTTGAACATATCGTGATTTTACCACGGGTTGTCCCTTTATGCCGATATTTTACCCCTCGCTATCGCTCAGGGTAAAATATTTGTCATAAAGGGCCAACCCGTGGTAAAATCACGATATATTCAAGTCCCCATGAATTATTTCTTAAGTGAAGCAACTATCAACGAGATATCAAAGGACGTTACATGGGTATATGAACTGGTAATAAAACAACGAATAGTGAACTATCAGCAACTATATAAAGAATACGGAATAATGTGGTGCAAAAGTATAAAGAATAATTGTTGAAAATAAAAGAATTAGGTAATACAATAAGGATTATATGTTGTCCTATAATATACGCCTTCGCATTATATTTTCATTATTTAACGTTTTTAAGCTGAAATTTTCATTTTATTTAATGCTCGGATGGCACATTGACCGTAAAAACAAAAAACAAAAAACAAATAAAGTTGAAAATAAAAAAATAATAAATAGCAAAATAAGTATAAAGAACATATCAGAAATAAACAGAAATAGAAAATAATGTCCCGAGGTCATATATTATAGGACTATGATTACATGCAGAAATGAATGATGTACAACATTAAAGAAAATTTTAGTAGGTAAACCAATCTTATGAGAACTTTACAGAATAATAATCAATATTTTAAAGATAAAGACAACTGCTCTAAAATTTAAAGAATACAGAAATTACGAACCCCTCTCCCGGCCACCATACAAATGGTGACTATGAATTTAATATGGTTACAATGTAAGTTAACACTACCTTAAGATCAGATTTGTGTGAACTTTCCATCTCCCAGGATTTCACTAAATTTTCCACCGTTTTCTCCAAAGATCCAGTTGGGTGATTCTTACTTTTCTCACGCATGTATTTGTTGTTTACCACAGTGTAGTCCGGTTTTCCATGTCTCCATGTTGTATTAGGATCATCCATTCCAAACCTTACTGGAAATTCGTTTTGTTCCATTTCAAAGTTTTGTAACAATTTCACTATAAAAGAAAATTTAAAATAACATTAATTTGTCATTAATGTTTTGATACTTTAGCCCTTTTCTCGAGTGAACATGCACTGAACTTTACACGTGAATAAACGCACGTATTTGGAATCATATATAGTTTTGACATATTGCATTAAATGTAGACAAAATTACATAAATAAAATCTTTGTGGTAACTTCATGAATAAATATGTTTTAAATAAAATAGTATTAAACCTTCTCTTACTCCAAATTTAAATGTTCTATAAAAATATAGAACACCCTTTAAGTAGATGAAGACAGCATGATAAATAATTAAAGCACCAAGGGCGCTATAGGCAGTTAATTTAAAAAAACCGAGGCAAACGTGGCAGAAGTTAAGATGAATATTGTGGAAGAATTGGTTTAGTTATTTATCTCAGCTGTTTCAAGTATCAAAAAATGTTTGTACCTTAATGTTTCCGCTATCCAATCCTACTATTTTCAAAAGTTATTTCTAATTTATTTTAAATATGTTTCCTTTGAAATGAGCCATACATGAAAAGTTTTATAGTCCCAGAAATTACTGAAAAAATAATTCAAGTAAATTCAACCTAGACTTATTATCTGCATCAGTTAAATTTTATAATAAACAAGAAATAATTGTAACAGGATGCTGTAACGAAGTCTCCCAAACAAAGCTCCTATAATTCGTCATTCCCATGGTCGCCTGACATTGGGTAGAGTTCAGTACAAATTGGTTTGGTCTAGTAAAGTGATATGCATATGTGACGCCTTGGAGTTTGACCCTGTATGTCATTCAAATCTTCTTGAAATGACAGGAATATATATGGTTTAGGGTTGCGGATCTCGACCGTTTACAAGTTCTCAAAACTTAGGAACAGCAAATGATAATAACAAAGTTAAACACATTGCATACAATAAGTCATATAGTCTTACGGTTTTTAAGGGTAACCAGTATTGTATTTGAATATAAGATTAACTCTTTTTTTCGAGTAATTTATTTTATTAAAATGCTTTTTGGCAATCTTTTATACATATAGTTTTCATTTGTTTTAATATCTGACTTTTTAATCTGAAGAGTTAAGCCCTTTTTAATTGATTTTTATAGTTTGTTCTTATGTTGTACTGTTACTTCACTGTCACATGTTAGGGGAGGGTTTGCCACAAGCAAACATATGTAGCCTTGTACTGTTTTTTGTTCTTTGATCGGGTTGTTGTCGCCTTGACACACTTCCCGTTTCCATTCTCTGTTCTATGTTTAACCCCGCCACATTCCTTATGTGCCTGTCCAAAGTCAGGAAATGTCAAAAATAGGGGTACAGCAGTCATAATTAGTGCCTTCGATAATAACATTTGTCACTTCGGGGCCTTTTTTAGCTTACTATGCACTGTGGATTTTGCTCATTGTTGAAGGCCGTACGGTGACCTATAATTGTTAACTTCTACGTCATTTGATATCTGGTGGAGAGTTGTCTAGATCTCATTGGCAATCATGCTGCATCTTCTTATTTTTATAAAGTCATAGCCAATTAATACCCCCTCCTCACAACATATATTATTTCAACGCTTTTGTCTATATACATGTGTCACGAACAGTAAAATATTGTAGGTTCCATATGAATACAAGCGTCTATACAGGATTTAAAGAAAGAAGATGCGTTTTATCTATACCGGTGACCGGCGGTTGGTATAAAACGATTGACGTGAGTTTATGCGATGTACAATTTTTCCATAAATAAGTAAACAGAAAAGACCTTACACAGTATTTATCATAGAAGTGCAAGGAAGTCGTAAGATAGGTTTGCATGGTAGATTTAAAATATATTAGTAATTTTCTGGTGCGAATCAAGGATTTTTTAAATGGTTGTGTACCATGGCAACGTTAGAAGTGGCATTTGAAAAAGTTTATGCATTTACCATGTATGCAGCTGCGGCCAAGCGGCCCCCCTCCCCCCCCCCCCCCCCCCAAAAAAAAAAAGAAGAAAAAAATATAAAAATCTACCTCTGACTTCATAAGTTGAAGAAGCCCGTTAAAAATAATTGAAAGTAAATCGATCATTTACAAATTTATAACTGTTTTCAGCTATTTCATTCAATTTCCAAAATTATTGTATTTTGATAATACATCAATTGAATAATATTTGATTGTCATTTCGAAATATTTGTGAAGAAAAAGATTAACACTCACCTTTTGCTGGAAACTCGCTATCGTTTGGAATGAAAAGATTTGAATCTACTTATTAAATGGAAAAAGATCAAAATTCTCTGCTCTATATATTTTCATAAATGTCATCTAAAATATGTTATACATGTAATAGATGTACCGTATCAAACGCATATATGAGATTATATTTTGTGAACTACTGTTTATAAATTGTTACGCATTGCTTGCTATGTGGTGTAGCGACATGCATCATAAATCTTTGTTCAAAGACAAATTAAAAATAATTTTAAAAGCCTATTCTAACAGACTTTATACTAACTTTATTACAACAAGTTTAAATTACATTTTCTGAAAGAAAGCAAAGAACTCAGTCTGTTTGTATTGTAGTAAATTTAATTCATTTTGAAATTTGTATTCAAATACGTTGCTGTTGGAGATTACAAAGCGCCAATAAAATACAATAATTTTGTATTTTATAAAAAATAAAAATGAAATAACAAAAATACCGAACTCAGAGGAAAATACTAAACGGAAAGTCCATAAGCAAATAGCAAAATCAAAAACTCAAAAACATCAAACGAATGGAAAACAACTGTCATATTCCTGACTTGGTACAGGCATTTTCTTATGTAGAATATGGTGGAATAAACCTGATTTTATAGCTAGCTAAACCTCTCACTTGTATGATAGTCGCATACAATTCCATTATATTGACAACGAAGTGTGAACAAAACAAACAAACATATTAGGTAAAAATGTCAAAAATAGGGGAACAGCAGTCATAATTAGTGCCTTCGATATTAACATTTGTCACTTCGGGGCCTTTTTTAACTTACTATGCACTGTGGATTTTGCTCATTGTCGAAGGCCGTACGGTGACCTATAATTGTTAACTTCTACGTCATTTGATATGTGGTGGAGAGTTGTCTAGATCTCATTGGCAATCATGCTGCATCTTCTTATTTTTATAAAGTCATAGCCAATTAATACCCCCTCCTCACAACATATATTATTTCAACGCTTTTGTCTATATACATGTGTCACGAACTGTAAAATATTGTAGGTTCCATATGAATACAAGCGTCTATACAGGATTTAAAGAAAGAAGATGCGTTTTATCTATACCGGTGACCGGCGGTTGGTATACAACGATTGACGTGAGTTTATGCGATGTACAGTTTTTCCATAAATAAGTAAACAGAAAAGACCATACACAGTATTTATCATAGAAGTGCAAGGAAGTCGTAAGATAGGTTTGCATGGTAGATTTAAAATATATTAGTAATTTTCTGGTGCGAATCAAGGATGTTTTAAATGGTTGTGTACCATGGCAACGTTAGAAGTGGCATTTATAGAATTGTATAGATTGAAATTAAATCGATCATTTACAAATTTATAACTGTTTTCAGATATTTCATTCAATTTCCAAAATTATTGTATTTTGATAATACATCAATTGAATAATATTTGATTGTCATTTCGAAATATTTGTGAAGAAAAAGATTAACACTCACCTTTTGCTGGAAACTCGCTATCGTTTGGAATGAAAAAAATTGAATCTACATATTAAATGGAAAAAAATCAAAATTCTCTGCTCTATATATTTTCATAAATGTCATCTAAAATATGTCATACATGTAATAGATGTACCGTATCAAACGCATAAATGAGATTATATTTTGTGAACTACTGCTTATAAACTGTTACGCCTTGCTTGCTATGTGGTGTAAGGACATGCATCATAAATCTATGTTAAAGTAAATTTAAAAGCCTATTCTCACAGATTTTAAACTAACTTTATTACAACAAGTTTAAATTACATTTTCTGAAAGAAAGCAAAGAACTCAGTCTGTTTGTATTGTAGTAAACTTAATTCATTTTGAAATTTGTATTCAAATACTTGCTGTTGGAGATTACAAAGCGCCAATAAAATACAATTACAATTTCAGAATGTACCGGATACATATGCAAACATCCAATTTTCGACCGCCAAACAGTATCAAAAACTTTCACAAAGTCAACGAATGCACAATAAAGTTTCTTCTTTTTCTCTTCTGCAACTCAAATAAAATATATATAAAAATTATATTATCCACTGTGGAAAAACCTTTCATGAAGCCCGCATGATTTTCATTTAATAATACATAATCCTCTAGGAAAGAACTCATGCTAACATTTAAGACAGAGGTTAACAGTTTTCCAAGGCAACTAATTGACCAGGACCATAAATAAAACACATTATGCACATTTTTTTCTGTGTTAATCTATTTTTTTTTTTTTTAGATTTCGAGTTTTCAAATGATAATGTAAACTTGAAATAACCCTTGAAACAGAAATATCAAAACATAAAAAAACTTCCAGATAGAAAGTCAGCATGCCACATAGGCATGAAAATGAAAATGGCTTAAAAATGCTTATTTTGACCATATAATGCCAAAATGGAATATTAATATTGAATGTCTATCAAACAAAATTTTTAATTTTCTAATGTCATACAGTCTGACAAATTAATACCTTTTAGGATGTACTTAGGTGAAATAGAAAAAATCTATAATTTAAAATTGACACTATAAGTCAGAAGAGTATAAGTTAAGGAGCAAAATAAGCTAGAAATATTGATAGATTATGGAGCTCCTTTTCGAAATATTCAATTTATAGAAAATGGCGATAAAAGGCTGACTTGGACTTTTACCTTATATTTGCATTGGTATTATTTGGGTCTCAAATCGAAAGAAAAGAAATCTAGAATCTGCTGAAATTTTGATAAATGACCTTTTATGAGCTATTGAAGTCTTCTATGAAAAGAAAAATGGGTGTTATGGGGCCAAAATTTTACCCTATATCGTAGGAAAAAAAACAATGAGTCCGAACATTTGACAAAACTTCCTAAAACTGACCTAAGTACATCCTTAAAACATACAGGGAAGTTGTAAAAGTACAGATTCTGTATTTTCTGAATTCATCTCTTAGGCCCGATAACACAATTAATTAATAGTGCATTTCTTTTGTACAATAATTGCAAATTGAACAAATCCCACCCGCGCTTTCTCAATAATATTTTTACAGTGTGGCATACTACTTTTCAGACAAATAATATCAAAATTACAGAAAACCTAGTCAGCTTTAACTGGAAATATGGACAATTTTCCATTGAAGAGGTCTTGAATTCAGTTTGACTGCTTCAGTCATTCTAATGTTTTACCTTTTTCAACTAGACCTAAATCACTACTTTATCTTAAAGGGGCATTAGCTGTCAAATTCATGTTCACCGATATGACTCAAATTCTTATATTCGACTTATAACATAATAAAACGCATATCCAATTATAAAAAGTCTAAAATAAACAATTTAAATGCGTAGACTCGATATTATGTATCAGCATTTTGTGTGTATTGTGTTCAGATGCCATCCAATTAACTATCGAGGTGACATCCGAAGACTGCCGACGTTCATATGACCCTATATAAACATAAACATATATATAAACAGATTGCGAACTCGTGAAATTGGATTTTTCTTGGTCTTTTTGATTTCATATTATAGGTTGAAAAATATGTTAATGATCGTTTTTACCTGTATAAGAATAAGTTCTTCTAGTAAATCAAATGGTTTATCCTTGTTTCACTATCAATGTTTACATTCTTTTCCATTCAATAACTGAACACGCAGAGTTCATGCGTAATCCATCTCTAACTATAGGATCAGTTCATTTGAATACGGATTTAATGAGATCGAATTATTCACTTGCAAGTATTCACTCTATGCTTATTTTGACAAAACTGAACCAAACTTGCTGTTAAAAGCAATTATTATTTCACTATTTAACTTTCATTAATGATTGAAAAAAAATTTTTTTTATTTTTTTTATATCTCGTAGCTAATGCCCCTTTAAAATTCATGACCCAAATGGTTTAACAATGTAATTAATTATTTCAACCCGTTTCTAAGCTTCATCTTTATATCGTTGATATGTCAAGTCAATACACTATTATTGTCTTTGTTATTTCTATAATTTAAAATAATTCATAACACTTCTTACGGGTTTTCTACAATCCGGAAAATTAAACCATTGTTGTGACGTTGTCTATTCAAGAAGCAGTGGATTAATTTTCAAGAATCCAATTACGTTCTGTTGTGACTATTTTGCAATGTAACACTATTCACAACGGTTCACTGAATTATATAAAGAGATGAGGGAGTAGATTACATGTATCGGTTATTCTATGAAAAGAGATGTACTGTGAAATATAGAGCGAGGAGCTTGATCCGAGCACTTAAGTTCATAGTATAAACCTTTTCATAGAATATTCAATTTAGCACATATTTACAATTCAAGTAATCATTTAATTGGCCTATTGATAGTTTATCTAGGCTGACTACTTGTATCACAGGTGTTTGTAAAACGGAGTTCATAAACTAAGTTTTGTGCTTTTTAAATTGACTCACTAGTATCATAGCTATCATATTTGTTCAATTTGTGACGGTGATTTACCAGATGATGGGTTTATAAATGCAAGAAACACGAATTGTGAAATACTGGTTTGTAAGGCAATTGCACATATGTGATTTTAAAAGGCCCTTGACTCCAGAATGAAAAGAAGGTAGCTGCTGCTGGATGTATGAATATCGATATATAGCGGGGTTTCTACGTGTACTTATTTACACGGTAAGATGACAAAATAAATTGAAATTAAATTGCAGTGGGAACAGAAATTTTTTTGAAAACAATTTTAATTTCACAGTAAAACGAAAGCTATAATAAATTGGTGAAATATAGATATATGTGCCATTGATAGTCTAGCGGTTAGGCATTAAAACAACTACCAATAGATCAATTTGAAAGATTATAGTTTTTTTCAAATTACTTTAAAGAAAACCTAAAATCTTTATTACAATACAGATATAGGTGGCACATTTCCTTATTTAAATGTTATTGAAATGAAATTGTTTTCAAAACATGTAAAGCTCCAACTTTGTTTTCAATTTATTTTGTCATCCTACCGTCTAAATAAAAACATGTAGAAAGACACCGCTTTATATCGATATATATATATCTACACCAGTAGCTACATACAACATAGTTATTGAACTCCGTTTTACAAATACCTGTGATACAAGTAGTTAGCTATGATAAATTATCAACAGACCAATGAAATGATTACTAGAGTTGTAAATATGTGCTATATTGAATAGTCTAATATGAAAAGGTATATAATATGATATTAAGTGCTCGGGGCAAGCCCCTCGCTCTACATTTTATAGTACAAATATTTTTTATAGACTAAGCGATATTTCAAACATACTCACCCATTCTCCTTCAATTGAAAATTAGTATTTTCCTTTTTAGTGTTCTTAGAATATAGCAAAGTGCTCTCGACCAATGAAATTGTAGGATTTGATGCCTCCTAATTGTGAAGATTGAATGTAAATCATGTTCTTAGTAAGGGATTATCCTTTTATTTTGGTCTATTTACCGTTCAAAACAAAGAGTTTCTATAAATGAGTTACAACTGCCCCGAAGCACATTTATCAGATTGAAAGGATTTATCACTCAAAGATTGAAACTGACTAAAGTTGAATTGTAAAACAAACAAAATTTTCAAAATAAATTAAAGACTTTAAGTCTACTGCTGCAGTAAAATTGGTACCGTGAATATTATTATGAAAATATTAATAACTTCAGACTACTAAAAAAAATAAACAATACAAAAGCAATGTAAAAAAAGAGCCTTCAGATAAAAAATAATCTAAATCTTTAGGTTTCCAAAACTTTGATTAGTGGATCAGCGGTTGGGAAGAATAGTTATTTCTAATATTCCTTTAAAAAAATAGAAATTTGATTTAAGATTTCAAAAACTTTTAAAGGCATTATTTTTGAACATTTCCCTGACATAATGAAATAGTATTTGATGTAAAAAGCCAGACCGAAATATTGGTTGTGAAAAAAGACTGAAACTAATTATTGAATACAACCAATCAAGAGATCATTTGAGCCTTGAGCACTTTACAACATTCTAAGTTTGTAAGAGAATGATAATCTCTTACTTCATGATAAGTACTCGCTAACGCTTGTACTTAATCATGAAGAAAGGGATCATCATTCTCTTACATATACTTAGCACATACTTACAACTTCTCGTCCAATCAAATTGCTTATATTTGCCTTCTAATTTTCATAGTACATACTTTTTCCATGTACTAAGTAACTACGCATGAATGACCACAAGGGTAAGATTTCATTGTATCGTAATCAAGATATTAAAACAAAAATTGCTACTGGCGATTTTGAAATAAATGCTGTGTTCCAAATTAAACTAAATAGTTTGTAATTAGTTTTCAAATTGATTTTTAAACATCCTACTATTTAATCTTTGGATCTAAAAATGTTTTTGACGATTAAAAGTTTCTTTAATTTAAATAAAGAGTAACACATATGGTTTTTTTTTATACCTTGATTAGAGTACAACGCCATCTGAAAATTGTAATCATTTATCTTCCATGCAATTACTTTGTACACAAAAAAGAGTGAA